AAGCTTCGGATTGAAACCCCTTCTAAATGGTACATTTGTATGGAAACCAGAGCCATGAAACCGAACTGTCAAACTACAGCGGGGACCGCGTAGTCGGTTGTCATTCGTTGCGGAACGCGCTAAAAGTATGCATAAGTACATGAGTACATATTCAGGCTTGCCACACGATTTTGAAAAAAAAATAGTCGAAAAAGCAAAAAAAAAATTTGAAATAGCAAAAAAAGCTGAAAGCGAAGAAAAGTGCAAATATCTATACAAACCGTTATTAAAATCGTTCCTAAGGTCAAACAATAAACATATATTCGTTTCTTTTCGTTTTTTATTGATGAATAATAAGAAAACAGTGCATGCCAATGATCTATATCAATATTAATATCATTTGTTTATAAACATAAACGATGTTCGACACTGCAAAAAATGACGGGTCATTATTTCTTTGAAAAATAACCACTTATTAAGGCGGACTTCTGTCTTTTAGCTCTTGACAGATTATCGATTTCGATTTGAATTGCTTGTAGTTCTTCGCGTTGTTTTTTTGCATTGTCGAACATAGCTTGTGCGGTTGTCATTGTTTCAAAGTTTTTTGTTTTTAATCCAGTAGATAACATATTTTCTGCAGCACTAGTTATCTCATCAATACTCGATTTCTTATCATCAAATCGTTTCTTTGCTTCGTTGATTTTTTCCGTCAACTCATCATTTTCGAGTCTACGTTTACTGCGTTCCAATTGCTCTTGCTCGATCGCCTCTCTTTGTTTTTGTTTACTTCTTTCTTCTTCTTCTCGTTTCTTTTTCTCTTCATCCAAATAAATTTGGTATTGTTTGCGTGCATTTTGAGCCATTGCGATAAGATCTGTGTCGATGAATATTTTTGTGACATCATTTCCAACGCTTCTGATTGCCTCTACTGTGTTAATTCGCGCATTCAACGTTAGCTCGCTCATTTTCGCACGATCTTCAGTTAAAATCAAAGAAGACGAGCTGAAGCCTTTTAAAAATGAATATAAAAAAAACATTGTTTACAATCGAAATGAAACCATAATATATAATTAACAATCGACTAAATGCACAAAATCAAAACCACTAAATGTACACAAACCTCTTTCTACGTCCATTTGTCCATGGCTAGCTGATAGCAGCGATTTCATGAAGTGATTAAAATGTGGATATTTATCACCATTTGACTGGAAAAACTGAGCCCAGAATGAATCTACGTCTCTGTCACTGTTGACCACATCAGCTTGTTTCATTGATTTTATTTCGACTTTAACCAATTTATATTCGTCACGCAATTTATTGTGATTCATATTGCCATCTTCCGCCATATGTTCCAATATTTTGTCCAAGATCAATGTGTCAGCGATATGCTCTTTCGATAGGTATGCCGGTGATAAAATTCGGAGCAGTTTAATATTTTCCCAATTAACTTTTTGGATGAGATATTGCGCGGCACTTAAATAATGCTGTTGATATAACTTTTTGAGATCCTTCAATAGTTTCATCGTCTTCTTGGCGCTTAAGCTTATCGATTCGATTTTTGATGGCATTTGATAAAATGATTTTGCTCGGATCAAGTAAGTTTTCTGCGTTGAAAACCGTTTGAATATCAATGTCGATTTCGTACTGTTTGCAGATTTTGGTTGCTATCAATAAAAGTAAACTTTTCAAACTGTCAAACATTGTGTGAATTAATGTTCCAGTGCATTGGAATTTCACAAGAAAATCGTTGAACAAGGTGGCGCTCTCAATTATCAATAAGAGATTCAATTCAACGTCATTTGTTCCTGCTCCTCGTAAATATCCGGAAATGTTTCTGTAATGAATGCCCTTCGTTTCAGCTTTTTTCATGTTCATGAAATATGATCGTATTGCTGGCAGTAAATACAAAAACCGTTCTGCTGCCGCCAATAGCGTAAGCCACCGAATATCGACGTGTTTAATCAATAATTTGCATTCGATTTCTTTTTGTTTACACACATTTTCGAATTTTTCGCGCCGCGCTGGAAATCCGTCGAACCAGTTGAATGTCTGAATGATCAAGTCCGTCAATTTATCACCACAAGCCTTCAATCCTTTCGAGAAACTGTTGTGAACAACATGCAAATTACACGAACCAATATCGAACAAATTCACTTTGCGATTCACGAGCAATTCATTGTTGATTGTTGTCTTTACAAGATCATTGGTTTTCGGTCCATCCATTCCGAGCATTAATAAATTATTAATCGACACTTGAATCAGCTTTGAAACGATAATTTTCGCTGTGGCAGTGCCCAAATAAAATGTTTGCAGGTGACGCGTTACTGCTCGCTGTAAACTATTAGAAAAATAGCGAATGCGGATTTGTAGTTCTTTCTTGTTTGCACTGTTTACAGTTTCATCGAACAGCAGTGTGAAGTACAACTGCCCATTGATATCCTTAATCACTTTCTTGTAGAAATACGGCCCGAGCGCGAAGTTCAAAATATAGGTTGCCTTTGTTCGATTCAATGTAAGCGATTTAAGTATTTCTGAGTCACTGATTGCGAATTTTAACACAGATCCAAAATTATCGAATGCATTTAGCGAACAGTTGTTTGATAAACCGTTGAGTAGAATTAATAATTCCGCTCTTGTTGTTTGTTCTTTCGGTGCAAGCATTTTCCATTTCGTTGCTTCCAAACTGCTACTTGTCGATTGATTCGACGCGACATCAAAATCCAACTTTTGTTGCAATTCATTGAATTTCGTTTTCATTTGATTCTTATGTTTAACCGTGCCCATGTGTTGTTCTAATGCAGCAAATCCTTTGCTCTGAACGTGAACTGTTGCCGGGCATACCAAACACGTTACCTCAACTTCACTGTGACGAGAAAAAATACTTTTAAGTTCGATATTTTTGCCTTCGAATTCCACTGATCGCTTTAGCCATTCTTGGCTGAATTTAGTTCCTTTGGCACTCATTGCTGAAAGACGACTGAATTCAATCATATGATAATTGAAATAATTTCGCGCAATTGTCTTCAATTCGAAACGTTACTTATAATGACAAACCAAGCAAAATAATTCTTTGCTGAGTTAGCAAAAAAGCCAACCAATATATACATTGATTATCGTATGTTTCAACGAAGTATATCAACAATAAACAAAACGAATTTTATCGTCAGTAAATTCAACAGCTGTATTTGTTTGATTTCCCAGAGATTTCGATGATTCATGTTGATCATATTGCATTTCAATACCGTTAATTCTTTATTTTCATCATAAATTTCAAAATAGCTGAAAATAGCAAATTTTTCGTGAAATAGCTGAAAATAGCTACGGTTTTTAAAATAGTCGAAAATAGCTAAAATAGCTAACGTGTGGCAAGCCTGCATATTTCAAGCATTCTGGTTAAAAAATATTTTAATTATTTATAAAAATATACCTAGTGTATTAATATGAAAACCCATTTTTAATAACACTTTAGAAACGTTTGAAAAAATACCGAAAAAGAATATGAACTTTCTTTTTTTTGCTCAGAAATTCTTTGCTAACATTTTTCTTGTTTTTGATTGACAAAGTGAGGTTAAGTATCTACTGACATGTTCAATGTGTAGAACAAATTTTTGCACTCGGTGGAACAAAGCCATTGTGTGTTTAAGGAGCCACTTTATTCCCATGGCTCCTGAAACACATTTTCAAGCTCACTTTGTAGGAAGCGAACGTAAATAATGAGAAAATTGAATTAATTGATTTCAAAATTCATTTGAACATCAGCAAATCTAAAGAAAACTTAGATAAATATGTTCATGTTGGAAACATTTTTCTAAATTTGATAATGTGGATGTGTCATCCAAATCATTCATTGCATTTAAATAGGAAATAAAGAAACAACATAATTTTACACAAATATTCATTTTCCACTTGATTTTATCATTTTTATTCACTCCATGAATAATATACGTTCACGAAAATACGTTGTCTTTTTCAAACATAGTGGTTCAAATTCAACGAGTCGTTCTACGAAGGTGCACTTAAGACTGTCTGGCGTGTATTTAATTTGTACTTTATTCTGACAGCCGCGTTGTAATTGATGATGACAGTTCGGTTTCGCCCCTCTGATGGAAACTTATCTAAAAAACCATTTTCAGGGTTTTGATAGAAGCAAACGTTATCCTCGTCTAATACCATTGATCTTACATGTAAAATAACAACAAGAAACGACAAAAGTGACCTCTCGTAG